GGGGGGGGGGGGGGGGGAAGTTGGGGAGTTTAGGGTTTCAAGCTCTAGAGTTTTGTCCTTTGGGGTTTAGGTTTTAGGAAGGGTGTTGGGGGATTCATTGCGGGGCTTGGTATTAGAGGGTACGGGGATTCAAGGGAAGTGAAAGCAACGACCAAGGCTTTGGGGTTTAGGCTTTACGATTTTAGGTTCTCGTGGTTGGGGTTGATGAGGGGTTTCTGATCTGCTCTTTTCTTGAGTGGGAGGGGGTTTTTGTTTACGTCCAGCGCTCAGGTGTCTTGTGGCTTTATGTCTTAGGCAAGTTGCGGATTTGCGGACAGGGCATTGAGGATTTTGGGCCTGCATCTGGGGTATGGGGCTTGAGTGCATCAGGGTTCTTTCGTCGAGGGTTTAGGGGGCCTAAACTCTAAACCCTAAACCAGGGCTCTTAAGGGCCTTCGGGGTTCCTTGGGGGGGTCGTTGTTCTTGCGCGGGGTTTCGATGTATCTGCCGGGTCTTGGGAGCTTTAGGTTTACGGACATTACAGATTCGGGTGTAGCACATTTCGTAGTTAAGATTGATGCCATGTAGGAAACCCCTAAAGGCCTCGGTATATACGTGTATTGATATCTATATAGAACTGGTGCTATATCTACAATATCTAGCTCGCTCTCCCTCTCTCTCTCTCTTCTTCTTCTTCTTTACATATATCTCAACCCTAAACCCTAAACCCTTTACATATATCTCAACCCTAAACCCTAAACCCTTATAGGGCAAGCCCGAAGAGCGCTGGGTCCGGCCAGGCGCCTGAGTTCTTGTCTGCCTTCCCGGGGCTACCGGTGTTGAGGCCGTCCTGGTCGGCTCCTTGTCGGGTTCCATCGGGTCTTTGGTTCTGTAGTTGTCTTTGATCGGGTTCTAAAGGCTTTTCTGTGGGATTATATTGGGTTCGATAGGGTTCGTAGGGCTGTGCTTCAGGGTTAGAAGGGCGCCAAGGTCTATGGTTGAACATCTGCGTTGAGGGTCAGGCTCTGTTCAGGGTTTAGGGCTTGATGCTAAGAGTTTAGGCTGTGTAGGGTTTTAGGATTTTATTTTGGCCAGAACCTGCGCACCGGTGGAGGGTTGTATGGGTTTCCGGCGGTGTGGTCTGAGTCTTTTTTCTGAAGGGCCTTCTGCATGGCCTGCTGCGATGTTATTGTTGCGGTTTGTCTATCTCAGTTTACCTGCGTACTTGTGCTGTTCATCTACTCATCTATCCCTATTCGGGCTCTACACTACCTCCCGAGATACTCGTCAACTGTATGTCACTCTGTAGAAATGTTCCCGAAAGACAAATAGCAGATATCAAAGAACATCACCCCAATGTCCCAGTGTTCCACCCATTGCGTAAACTCTGCATCAGAAGCCTTGCGCCGAGCCACCGGCAGCCAGTCAGATAGCTCTTGTTTGGCAACATTTCGTGCACATTGATCAACGTGGACTCCGGTGTTGGGACACCAGTTTGTTCGCAGTCGTGGTCGGAGTCATGAAGCGAATCCGAATCTTTGCGTCCCCATTGCAATGCCTACCCGGCCTGAGACACTGCCTCCTTTCCCGAGGGAGGCAGCGAGCTGCAAGGTGGAGCTTTGTAGACCGGAGGCTGTCTTCTTCCACGATTCATGACGACGCACCGCCGAGTCCCATCTGCCACGAGGCCTTGGCGCAGATGGTTCAGGCAGCTCGGAGCCCGTTGAAGCGAGGCCGTGGAGAGGGTGAGCCTTCCAGGACCCGATCCAAGTACTTGTATAGATCAACCCTGCGCGGTTGGAGCATCCATGTTGCTTCCGCAGCACACCTGAGAGACCGCGACAAAGGCAGGCAGTGTAACATAGATGCGAACTATCTGCTGGACCTCGTACTTGAGCAGGGCGGTTTGTGCGCTTATTCTGGCATACCCATGGAGATGTTGCGGCCAAACTCGCACTGGAGGATTTCCATCGAGAGAATAGACACTAGTCAGGGCTATCTGAAGGGCAATTGCTGTCTAATTGCCGCTGAATTCAATTCAGCTGTGTCGTGCAAAGCAGTCCCTCATTCTGGATCAGCGCAGTGGTCCAAGCAAAAGGTCCAAGAAGTTCTGCATGCCCGGACAGGGCAGGTTGACTTGACGCGGCTGCAGGAAGGCACAGTTGCTGCGAGGCGGGGCACAGACCGGAGGCGGACCAAGTACACAGGCTTTCGAGGACCGGACGTTGCCGGCAAATGGCGATGTGGGTGTTGTGGTATCTGGAAGAACAAAGAACAGTTTTACATCCGAGTCGCCAGCCTCAATGGCCTATCGCACCACTGCAAGGAATGCAACTGGAATCGGAAAGCCATGTGGCTGCAGACGATGCGGGGGCACGCCTTGACACAGTTGTGTACCGCCCGAAATAGAGTTGCAAATGCAAAGCACACGTATAGCGGAATTTTCAAGCTTGAATTGGACGACATCCTCAACATGTTATGGACCCAAGGCGGTCGCTGTTACTATTCAGGAGTCCCATTACGTTGTGCGGTCGGCCCTGCCGACTGGGTTTGGTCCATCGAGCGCTTAGACAACTCTGTGACATATACCAAACAGAACTGCGTGCTAATCGCCCGCGAGTTTCAGACACCCGATTATAGTCGCAACACGGCGAAGAATCCAGTCTTCGGCACTGCTCAGTGGTCACGACGCAAGGCCAGCCACATTTGGGGACCTTACTGCCATCACACCGAAGCTTTCGGTTGTGCAGGGCTTGCTTAGGCTGGGACCAAAACTCCGGGGCAGCAACTGTGGAATAATCGGACTTGAGCATGCAAAAGACAGGCACCGGCAGTGGTTTCCCTGTAACCCAGACCTGCAGATCCGCTCTAAGCCTCGTAGCGGCAAACTCCTGAATCTGCTTGCATTCACCAACGGCAGTGCATCAGTTTGGGGTAAGCACTGGTTCAACCTGTGTCGGACACTCTCACAAACGAGTGCAGATGCTTATCTGTGAGACGAGGGTGATTGACAAGTATCTTTCGATTTTGATCCTCAGCAGGGTAGCTCGAACTGGGGTAAGGTCAACCCCAATTATGTAACTTGCACAGGCTTGTGCGAAAAGGCTTTTGGCTTCAAGTTGCAGGATGACAGGGGTTGGAGAGCGTGGGATGTGGTTTTCGTCTTTCGCGGTTTAGGATTGTAAGTTCCTGGAGAATGATGGAGGTTTAAGGTCTGTTCTGGTTCATCACCTTACACTGCTCCAGTAGCTGTTGTGCCTGGTCCAAGTGGTTCACATGGTCGAACGTTGTTTCATACAAGCTGCCCCAAGCCTTCTGCTGTCGTACAGTCTTGTTTCCCCAGACTCTCCTGATGGGCCCGTGGTTAGATTCATGAGCACGTAGAAATTCTGAACCAACAGCGGGGCACGAAGTGTCGAAGGACGACATGCTGAGCGTCACAAATCCTGGGTTGGCCAGTCAATCAGACCTTCAATAGATGAAGGCTTTCAGTCGTTTTCCTGCGATGGTGCTTGATGTTTTCCAATAGAAGATGATTGACCAGGGGAAGGCTGAGCCGATGCCACATCTACGTCTTGCCCCGCAACCGCTAACAGTTTAACAACAACTTGAACCCCTTAGCATTCGGGGAACAGTAGGCAAGATAATTCATATGGTCTATGCAAGTTTGATTGTGAGACCCGACTATCAGTAAAGCCTCACATCAGGCCAATTACAAAGCAGTAAAACACCGCAACCCGCCGGATCTGGTCAGGGATGTCACTTTCCTGGTGCCGAGTTCTCAGAGCTTCATGAAAGGGAGGTAGGTGTAGGGTTTCAGAGCTTTGCAGTGTAGGGGCCTTCAACCACTTTCGGATTTCTGGTTTTACGATTTAGGAGTTTTTTGGGGATTCGGGGTCTGGAATTTTCTGGGCTTTGAAGTTCGAAACGTCTGGAAAGTTAGGGCTTGGCTTTGCCCGAGGGTTCAGGTTTAGGAGGCTAGGGCTTCGGATTAAGGGTTTCAGGTTTCAGGGCCCGGGCTTGGGCTTTAGGGACTTTAGGGCTTACGGCTTCGGTGTTGAGGTTGTTGGGGCTCTGAGGGTTAGGGCGGTTTGTGTCTGGACGATTAGGGTGTTGGATTTCTGAGATTGAGGAATTTTGGGGCTTGGCATTCAGGTCTCGGGGTTTGGGGATATGTCCAGGGATTTAGGCATTAGCGTCTCGGGCTTTGGGGTAGGGTCTAGCATAACAGGGAGCAGGTCTAGAGATTCAGGTGCTGGATTCCAGTTTTGGCTTGCAGAGCTTTTGGGCTGTTAGGGTTTGGGGCTGGGGCAGGGTTTAGAGTTCAGAGCTTTGGGTTTCAGGGGGGTTGGGCCCTTTGTTCTCTGAGCTTCCCCAGTTGTTTAGTTGTTCCGTGTTAGTTGCAGGCTGGGTGGGTAGCTCTAAGGCATTGCGCGCAGTGCCAACCTCGAGCGTCTCATTGGTGCAATGCCTTGATCCCGTATTCTGGGTTCTTGTTACGGAGTTTCAAGTACTAAGTTGCTGTAGAATCAGTACTATAGAATATGTTTACATACTATATTTTGTATTATGTAGTAGATATAGTATGTTATTATACTACACGACAAGCACAACTGTATCCACGTAATATATAATATCCAAAAGGATGCCTGGTCAGGTTGAGACCTACAGCCCGGCTAGGATCAAGTCCATTTACAGGCATCCGTCAAAAGCTGCCGGAAGGCGGCAGGTCTGGACATGTCTTTTTCGAGAGCTACATCGCCACAATGACAGTATGCTCATACACAATGATGTGGTTGCCGGGTTTACGGCTTGAGGGTTTTAGGGTTTAGCTCAATTACTCAATTACTCATGATTGGTTGCCGGGTTTACGGCTCGAGGGTTTTAGGGTTTAGCTCAATTACCCATGATTCACCGCTGATGAATGTTTACTAAGTTTTCTTTCACGAGAACCCTGCGGCTAAAATTCGATACTCTGAACTCTAAACAGTGCAGGGAAAGCTTTGCACTCAGGCGGCTGCTATGCGTGAAGATTACCGCAGCAACATGTGAGACGAGGCGGCCACAAAAAGGGCTGAGTGATTAACGAGAGGTTCTATTTTCTGTATAATCGAGAATATGTCCCCAAACCTCCTGCGGATACTGTACAAGTAACCCTAAACCCTAAACCCTCAGATTGCAAGCATGTCTTGTGCATCTCGGATCGCGAGGTTCGCAGCTAAGGCCTTAACGCCTTAGGCTTCGGAGTAGGGTTAGGCTCCCGGATTCAGGGATGTGGATTTGGGGTTTCGGGGTTTAGGGCCAGTGTTGTGTTCAGAGTTAGGGACGTCTTTGGCGTTCACAGTTTGGGGTTTAGGGTTTGGGGTTGCAGGCGTGCTTGAAGGTTCCATCAATATCTCCTAGAGCGGACTGTATCTCTTTAGGGGATTTGGGGTTCAACAGGGGTGGGTTTATCGTGGGGGTATGGTGTAGAGGATTCCTTCGGTTTGGACTTTGAGGTTCAGTGGCTACCTAAGTCTCTTGAAGCCGCGTTTCGCAGGTTTCCTGGCAATTCCTTGCAGCATTCAGTTGAGTGGTTCCCACCAGCTCCAAACTACCATAAACTGCCTCACAAAAATATGCCATACACCTGAAGTAACGTCCCCGAGCCCCATACTTTGCTAGCATTCCTTGCGCCACCTTAAACTAGCATACTATTGCACTTGGCTGTACGTAGTTGCAGTTGTCGCCTATTGCTCGAACCTAACTAATATAGAGATTCGAGCGGCCTTAATGCAATAAGAAAGGTAGTGATCAGTCGTTTAAGCTAGGATGCCTCGACAAGGGATCCAGCAGATGACCCAAAAAACACACACTGGACTCTTACTTTTCCAT